CTAATCGTCATTATTTCCATCACCATCAAACCACCATCGTCGACGGAGAACCACCATCACCATTCATCGAAGCCACCCTGACAGACCACCACTGTCATCAAACCAGCACCGGGCCGTTAGTTGCGTCGTTAACGCCAGGCTCCGGGCCGTCCGACGCCGGCGGGCGGACCCCGTTTGACGTAAGGAGCCGGACCACCGTGCTCCCCGTTGGCGATTCTTCCGGCGATGGAATTGGAGGATTAATCACCCCTTAATCACTCCTTAATATTGCAGAAATCACGCCCCATTTTAGTAAGAATTAAAGGTATACTAAATTATTTTCAATTGTTAATTATGGAAATAATCATTAGACTTTTTTTAAGGAAGTTTTGTTCGGCTCTTAATTAGGAAAATACAATTAGATATTGGTTAATTAGGGAAATACAATTAGACAAATTCCAGCGTAGTTACAAAAGAATTACTTAAAGTAATCACTTAAATTACGCAAAATATTATAAAAGAATTAGTTTAAGTGATTAAATTAAACTCACCTACTACTATTAAAATATGTAATTAATTATTAAATTCTGTTTCCCCTAATTTTGTTGGTAGCAATCAAAGAGGAAAATAATTAATAATAAAAAATATCACTTATTATGGAATAAGATGGTTATTAATTAATAAAATTAATTTTGATATAATGAGATGAGACGTGAGTGATTGGAAATTGGGAAGGAATCCATCACTGAAAACTAAATGACACGCTAAATTAGCACTAATTGGATTCATAATTTAAACACTAATTCTGAAATTCTACAATTAGTTAAATACTTTACCTAAAAAATAATTATGTAATTGGAAAAAAATAAAAGCAATAGCAAAAAGAGGATTCCATTAATGGCAGTTACCAAAAAATATAAATAAAAATTAAGGTTAAAAACCCATACTCCTCCGGACGGGAATGGATCAGGCCATGAGTAACCCGTCCACATCAGCATGACATCAGCATCCTCTCTCTCATGCAAAGCCTTTAATTTTTCCCTCTTTAATCTTTGATGGACGATTTCTCGCTCATTTTAAGTCGAAATTTAATTTTTTTTGCACAGTTAAATCAGATTAATTGTGCTCTTCAAAATGATATCCACTTTAATATATTTTTCGAACAAAAAAAATTGAGCCATTTTTTACCAGCCTATACCATATGGTATTGACTGGTATTGAAATAAAAGCATACCTATGTTTTGAAAAACGTACCATGGTGGTATGAACAAACCAATGCTGTAGGATGGTTGAATACATTATAGTAGAAGTATATTAATTGTAATTTACGACTTTTAACATTGTATACCACACAATACCACCCCGTACCAGGGTGGTATTGTATGGTATTGTGTGGTATTTTTTGGTCCTGTAATTTGTTCATCCAGAAATTTGTAGATTCAATAGATCATGATGAACTCGTCCCTTCTGTGCAAACGTTTTCCAAAACGAATTAAAAATGAAGAAGATATCATACAATACCACCCTGTACCAGGGTGGTATTGTATGGTATTGTGTGGTATTTTTTTGTCCTGTAATTTGTTCACCCAGAAATTTGTAGATCCAGTAGATCATGATGAACTCATCCCTGCTGTGCAAACGTTTTCAAAAATGAATTAAAAATGAATAAGATACCATATGGTATGCAGTTGGTACCGAGAGGCCAGAATTTTTTTTTCCTAAAAAAATATTGAAAATTGATCTCATTTTGTAGAGCACAGTGAACTCGTTCCATCTGTGCAAAAAAAATTAAAATCCGAGTTAAAACGAAAAAGATATGAGTCAATTAAGAAAGCTAGTGAAAATAAAAATAGTCTTTAATTCTCCATCCTTAGATCTGAATTTTCTAAATGAAGGGTTCAGATTTGGTTATTGATGGGTGCATAACCATGGTTATGCACCCTATCTTGAGCCCCTCCGGACCTCCCCCATTACGACGTCTAGTTTAAACTTCCTAATCCTAAATCAATATTAACTCCTTAAATTTACCGTATAACTATTATTTTTTATTTTATAATTATTTAATATAAGAGATGGAGAAGGAGTTGAGAGGGGTTAATTGGAGAGAGAAGTGATTAATATTATGATTTGTATTAAAAGATTAAATGATAGTAGGAAACTAGGAAAGGATTCTTCTGCCGTTAGTGGGACGAATTAGGGGAAATTAGATTGGTACTAATTAAGGAGATAATGATTTAAATTATTAAATTAGTTAGGATGACTATAATTAATATTATGATTTGTTATTATAGTAAATGGTAGTGAAAAAAGGATCTGCCGTAAGTGGGGTGGATTCAATAATTACTTTTTAATATGTCTCTTATTGACTCCTCTCCCATTAATATGTCTAACTACATTTACCTAATTTCTCTTATTGTAGTTATTTAGTTTTATATTATGGTACAGAATAGTGATAAATATTAACCTAATATTAAATTAGTTAGATTAATAATTATATAATTATGTTGTGGTAAATATCAAATTTCGTACTAAATAAATTTGTGGATACGAACATGATGGAATCAACCGTTTCTCAATTGGACGTCCGGACAAAAAATGATGAATAATGTCAAAACTTTAATCGAGGTTTTTGAGGAGTTCAGGGATAGTAATGACCAGTTTCTTGAGCCTGTCATGTGTATTTCGTCGATGCAAACGATTGTTATTAGTGGAGGTAGAGACGATTTTGCCTCTAAGACAAAGTCGTAGTAGGATTAAATGGACTGAAGTTGAAGGTATATTTAGTGAGAATGAGACTTTAGGGTTTGGAAGGGGTAGATTGTGTTTGAGGGAGAAGAGATGCGTGTTTTGTTACTCATCGGTATCCGATTGAGTCGAGTTGATTCTTCATTTTGTTATATGACATCTTGGGTTAGATTGATTCAATTGTGGTCAAAGTCAAATCATAATCACCTTAAACCCTAATTCAGTCAGACTCTAATTTAACATCCTATAATTATTCAATTACAAAAGATTTACGTAATAAAATTGGTTCAACTATTATTTGAAAGAAAGTCATCGTTCCTTTTATCTATAATTACTTACCGTTTCAAATCCAATTTTTTCGCGTCCAATTTGTAACTTAATTTCCTAAAAACTCATCTATTAATTGCCATTATAAACACTAATTCCAAAATTTTACTATTACTTAAGCACTTTCCCTAAAAATAATTATTTAGTTGCTAAATAAATAAATAATAATTTAAAAACGATTATAGCAAGAGAGGAATCCATGGCAATTACCACGAAATATAAAACAAAGTTAAGAAGTTAATTAGCAAAATGGATTCTCGGCGGTTAAGGGGAATAGATTTTCAGTTTTAATTATGGAAATAATTAATAATTTCGTCAAAAAATGGAAATAATTAATAATCCTTTATTTTTCAGTTGTCAATCAAGAGGCACCGAAAAACAAATTCCGTCCGCTTGCCGGCGTCGAACAGGGTCCGCTCGCCGGCGCCGATCGAAGTCCGCCTGTGCTCGTCGGACGGAGTCTTCGAACGGGGTCCGCCTCGCTCGCCGGACGGGGTCCGCTCGCCGGCGTCGGACGGTTAAAAAAGGGGGAAAACATGCTCCTTCTCGACGGCGGTGGCGACGGGATGGGATGTAGAGTCGGCGACGGGTTAGAGTTGTGTGGGGAGGGAGGTTTCCAGCCTGTGGCGGCTTGGAGTTAGAGGAGAAGAATGGAGTTGCGGCAGCCAAGGAGATTGCCGGCGGTTTAGAGTTGAAGGAGATGCAGATCGCCGCGGCGGCTTGGTGATGGAGGAGAAGGAGGTTTCCGGCGATTATCGTTTTAAATGGAAGGAGGGTAAAATTGTAATTAGGTTGAAAACTACGGGCGGCAAATAGTAAATACTAGGGCGGCAAATAGCAGTTCATTTAGTAATGAGTTCCAAATGTTTACATTTCCAGATATGCATTTTAACTCATAATCCAGTTTTGTGTATATTTCATCATTTTAATTACAAAATTTGTTCATTATTTTTATATAGGTAGTAATAATTAATAAAGACGAACATTTCGATAATTTTTTTTTAATTCCGACAAAAAAAATTATTTGTAAATATGACGTATTGAAGTGTATTTAACTATTTATAAGAAAATTTTGAAAAAAAAGAGCTGTTTGGGTTCAAAGAACCGTTGGGGGTGAATATTGGTACTAAATGAGTAAATTTTTCTTTTTCTAATTCTCCAACAGGTGGAAAAATGGCAGAATCCATTCCCCCAATGCGCTTTTCCCGTATCCCCTGGTGGTCCCCGTTATTTGGAACTTTTGTCCACTTGTGTTCCATTTTTGAAACCAATAATTGCATTAAACGGACCTTTTGGAATTCTGGAACCCTACTAAAAGTGAATGGGGCAATTTTTTTGGAATTCTAAAACACCATTGAAGGTGGTCTTAGTGGCGTAGAAATGGGAAGGGATGTGTATTAGTAGAATATAAAGGGATGTGCTAGAGTTTTAATTTGAGAAGGAAACTTATTAATTTGTTAAGTAAATAAGAGATAAAATTTGGTGCAACTAAAATCACGGCATATCTTCTCCTTCCCAATGTTTTTACACGGTTGAGTTGAAATTTGGGTTCATCTCATTTTAATTCTTTAATATATTATTTTATTAATTATATATTAAAATGATTATTTTTTGCAACACAATTTGGTAAAATGTTGGGTAAACTGTACTCATACGCAACCCTTGTGATTTATGTTGGGTTCACCCTTGATCTTTGTGTATCTGAGGCCATACGAGTGCTGGGGTATCCCACTTGAGGAGACTGGAGGTGGCTCAATAAAGTAGCGAGGGAACCAAGGTATTTTATCGGGTATAGCAATCCTTCGCTGAGAAGATTAGTAGAACAGAGTCTTTTCCAGTTCTGTGCGGACGCCAAGGGGTCGTGATTGGCTATTTTTTTCTGCAGCTCGAGGTGACCAATTTATTTGTTAAACAGTTAAATCTTTCATTTTTGCTACCGCAATATATTAATGCTCTTAGGAGTTTTACCCATTCCCTTTCTCTTTGGGGTTAAAATTGATGTAGAGGTCAGCTCCGACGACCCCGGGTTCCGTGGCTCCTGGTTCGTCGGCACCGTCATCCGCCGCGAGGCGAAGAACCCTAATCGCTACGTAGTCGAGTACGACCAGCTCTACGAGGACGAATCTGGGGAGAAGCTGCTGCAAGAAACCCTCGATTCGATCCAATTGCGTCCGCCGCCGCCGCCTCCCGAGAAGAAGAAGAAGGTCCAGTTCAAGTTCGGCGACGAAGTGGAGGCCTTCCACAGCGACGGCTGGTGGGAAGGGGCTATTACTGCGGAGCACTCCGGCGGGAAATTCGCGATGTTCTTCAGAGGCTCAAAGGAGCAGATTGTGTTTAAAGAGAAAGATTTGAGGTTGCCTGTTCAGTGGGTTAAAGGGAAGTGGGAGCCGCGATTCGAACAGGTTCAGCGGGATAAAGAGGTGAGCTAATTCGATTTTATGACTTTTCCTGCTCCGTTGCTTGGTATGACAATTTTAGGGAATTCTGAATCTGGATCTAGTTAGGCTGAGGAAAGTAGAGAATTGGGTGATCAGAGATGGCATTTGTTCTTGTTCACAATGTCTCAACCTCGTTGAATCGCTTCATAAACATGCAGAGGTCGCTAGAGAAAACTGGAACTAGGCCAAGCAAAGTAGCAAAACGTGAGAGTTCGTCTGAGCCAAAGGCAGACTCAAATTGTCCCAAGGAAGTGATGAAGTTCACTCAAGGAATGCAAGTCGAGGTGACAACTGACGACGACGGTTTCAAAGGTGCTTGGTTTGCTGCAACAATTATTGAACCTTCGGGTGAAGACGAGTATCTTATTGAGTACAAAACCCTGACGAATGATGATGATACTGAGTTTCTCAGAGAATACATTCGTGCTTGCAACATAAGGCCTTGTCCGCCGGAGATCATTGTTGTGGATGGATTCAAGGTGATGGATGAAGTGGATGCTTACTACAACGAGGGCTGGTGGGTTGGCGTGATTGCAAAGGTTTTGATCAACTGCAATTACATGGTTTACTTTAAAGAGTATGATGAGAAGATAACGTTCAAGAAGGCTGATTTGAGGCCACATCAGGACTGGTTAAACGGCAAATGGGTTGTTCCTTCAGAGGTCTGAATTTTATGCTCTCAATTCTCAACACACTACTAGCTTTTCTAGTAAATGATATTAGTTGTACGGGCCTGCACTCAATGCATCTCTTTCTATTGTGTTTGCCAAATTGGTTGTAGATCTTGAGTGTGTGGAAATCTGATTGAATAGCCCAAAATGTATTAGAGAACTATGGAGTTAGCAGATGTTTCTTTTCTATGGGATTATGTTGGAAAAAGATTTATCTTTTGATGTTGAATGCTCCTATTCCTATAAAATTCAAAGTTCTGTCTGAACTAGAACTTGGGGGTCTGTTTCATGAGGATTCTTAAAATGGAAGGATTCTAAGGTGTAATTGTTTGGATGAGTGATTTACAGAAGTTAATTATTGGAGAACACAGAGATTCGAGTCTGAATTCTCTGCTGAAAGAAGAGATTGCATATCCATCCATTTTGAGAACCAATGTTGCTTGTTCAAAATGATTTGTGTACGAACTCTCATCTCATGTGAGAGATCACCATTGTTTCTCATTCGAAGGAACTCTGCTCACCCAAATCTCAATCTTTAATCCATTTCAACGCAAATTCTTCCAAGGCTGTGCATGATCCGATTCGATTCATAATCAAAGAACCGAACTGAATCAAACTAAAAATCAAATCGAAAATAATGGACACAGGAGAACCATTCTGATTTTCTTTCGGCATGCTACTTTCTCTTCTTATATTTAATCAGAACAACTAGTACATAAAAGGCAACAACTGTGCCCACTGAGTAATTTTTTTTATAGAAACCACTGATATGATTCATTAAAATCAAGAATCAACTGCCTCAAAGGCTACAACGTCAGCTACCCTTTGTGGTAGAACATTACAATGAAAATGAGTTTCCTTAGAAACTGAAACTAGATGAGCAAACACATGAGCTTGGGACCACAACAAAGCATACAAATCCTCCTTCAACATATCCGAACAAATGACCCCCAGTTCAGTTCTGCATATTTTCCATTGTTTCAGTATCTCGATTCTTTGCCTGTTTCCGTATCTCGATCACCATTTTACAACTGACTCTACCACATCGGGCCAATTTCTTTCTCCTTCACTAGTCTGACCCCATAGAGATTAGCGATTCCTCCTTTTGGCCTCACTTGACATAATTCTTCAGGGGTTTAACTCCTGCATAGACACACCAAAAATAGCGTCATTCAGGAAACAAAGTCCGATGGAAGCTTGGGACAACAACAAAGCATACAAATCCTACTTTGGGTACTCATCTGGATAATGTTCTTCTTGCATGTAAGATTCCATCCTTCCCTTCACAATCCCCATGGCAACGATGTGCGCATATAATGAAAGAAAATCGACAAATCAAACAAATGATATTCATAAAGCAACATATAAAAAATGAAAATTTGTTAAATTATATGGTCCAGGTTGAAATACTTCCGCATACCACATATTACTATCATACACTTTCTTGAAGGGTTCAGGAATAAAGGATACCGTAGTTCCAATGGTACATATTCAAGCTAAATAGTAATGGGGCATTCCTATGAATGAAGCACTCCTACATAGTTGCAATACATTCCAGAATTACTATATCATCTACTCTAGTACCCCTCGAGAAAGCGTATGACAGCAATCACATTATCTGCGCAAGCCTCAACCAAATATTTCGCATATACATGTGTTCTCAAATGAACATTTGAAACTGGAAGGAAATAAAATGATACCATCAAAATTGTGATAGAACCAAAGGTACATAAACTATCTCCCAAATCCAGCAGTGGCCTTCACAACTCTGCAAGCAATGAATTTTCTCAGTTGAGGGATTCGGACCAACAAAGAAACAACAGACGAAACAACAATAAAACGAAACCAACCTCAAATCTTTCAAATCTCCTACAGCCTTTGCGAGTTTCTTCCAAAATGTAGGAGTCAAGTGGGCGGAAAAGAACCACCAGATGGAATATGGTTCCACAATATTTATTATGAACACTCCAACTACATCTGATGTTCTTCTCCGCCCTTTGTAGACACATCTACATGTTGGGACTGGCCGCCGAACTGCCGCCAACACAACCTCATAAAAAATAAAAGAAGATCAATAAAATGGATTGGATTAGGTAACTAGTCTCCAAACTCAGTTATTAGCTAACACACATGAGGGAAAAACTGAGATTTGGAATCAAATTAATACAAACCGTGTCAACAAGCTACGAAGCCAGATATACTTGAAGAACTCATGTCAGATGCCAACTTCGGCTTTCACTAATTGAGCAACCCACCGAACTTCGTTTTTGTGAGATCGACAACATGCAAATGTCAATACGGCGCAGAAGAATCATCATATGACGTGTGTTTCCAGAACGAATGTTATGAAAAACCGAACTCCATCTTATGATCTTCTGCGCTGTCCTTACAAGTTTACATGTTTTCATTCTCACAGTACCATGCCTCTAGCCCAACGCACCCCGGAAACCAAAAAAACAAAAACAAAAACAAACAAGGGGATTAGGCTACTGGAGTCAGGCCTTCATTAGCTACCAAGAATAATATCAAAAATCTATTTGAGTAAAATACGAACCTTCCTCCTTGCAGTTGTCTCCCCGACATCAATCTCCAAATCGTCACCCATTTCGCGCCAGAGAAGAAGACCCCTCACAACGAAGCGAGAGCCTGGAGGCAAGTAGAGGAAGGAATGAAGAGGTAGGTGGGTAGGATTTTTTTCCCTTTGGGATCAAGGCGAAAGAACAGAATTGATTGAGAACAATGGGAGGGGGAATGTGTAATGAGCGACGGCTAGGGTTTCATCTTGGTTATGGTGGAAAGGAGGGAGCAGCTGGATTGGGGAGAACGGAAGGGGAAAATGGAATTTAGGGTTTGGATTTCCAAAACCAATGCGCGTGCCGCGTGGGAGAGAAGGGCTGTGAATGGGCTGCGCTTGAGAACACATGGCCAACATGCATTGTTTCCTTTCTTTTCCTACTAACATAACTCGTTTTTAAACAAAAAACAGGGAGGAAAAATGGGCCAATGGGGGATGGTTAGTTGGTCCCTATGTAAACAATGGGATTTTCTTTAATCAATTTAATTTCCTATAGCTTAACACGTTGTAAACAATGAGAATACCAAGATCTGTTGAAAACGTTGTATGTCGTAAATCAATCTTGTATTACTAACCACGTTGTGTTAGAATTAAGCGTTGAAATTTTGCATTTTACAATTGTTGAATACGTAAACACCCTACGGGCAGTGGCTGAGCCACCTCTTGAGGAGAGGGGTCATAGTACTCAGTTGGGAAAAAACAGGGCAACAAAATTCTTCAGATATGTAAGGTTTAATATGATCCTTTGAATTTAGGACCTCATACTTTCGTTCATGTTAGCTCATCTAAGGACACCAATTAACTCAAACTTCATTAGATAAACGGAATTTTGCATTTTGAAAATAAAAAGGAGCCCAATCAATTTAATGTATGGCTACCACACTCCCTATGACATACAACTCTACCAATGTTAGTATGACAACAACCATAAAACACAATGCTTGCTTTCCTACGCAATAATTCAATTCTATTCAACAACTTATTTGGGCGACAAATGATCCCCAATTCGCATTACACTACATAACTAGGATCTCAAACCAGCCTTCTTGAAATTTGAGCTAACCTTGCTTCGACTAGGAAGACATATCCATTGCATTGATTTTCATATTATCAACCCTCTTGCCTAAACTACCTTGAATATGTTTATCATCTGTTCCACGATTTTTGTGACAATTAGGGTTAGGGAGATGACTACAAAAGTATCGTTGTAGCGCATCTTTCATAGATTCAAGTTGGCTAGTTTATTTTAAACTAAAACTATAAGATTTTATTAGATTATGATTATGCTCAAGTAGTAGGCGAGGCCATTTTGCCTGGGATACGTCCTACGTCGACCACTATACCACGACAACTATACTACGACGCCAAATCCCTTAGTGTTATTATGGATCGAGATTTATAATCTTCAAGGATCCAACAACCTTGACCCCAATCTCAACAGTCACGATAATGGTTTAAGATATTATGTATAAACTAAAAAATTAAATAATTACTACGCCAAATTAAAGCCAGTGAATGTCATTTGGCGTAGCGGAAATAGTGTGGAAATATGACTCCTTGGATACAGGTTCAAATCCCAAAGGCAGCACGTTTTTTGGCTTCTACTTTCCATTTTAATTAATGGTAAGCCATTAATAGATAAAAAATTTCTTTAAAGGCAAGTAAAACGTTTTTTTGGTTGAATGTCTTCTACTTACCATGTAGGAGTTAGTTTTGATTTCCTCCTGCTTTTATGGTAGGTTGATTTTTTATTATTCTTTTTTCTTTTTTGCTTTCGTTCCCCACATATCATTTGCTAGATGTTCTAATACACGAAATGCACCGTTCAGACTATGTTTCTAAGTTCTATTTATTTGAACTTGGTTAGGTGCTAATTTGTGTTCTTTTCATTTATGAACTACCATTTGTTGCCTTTGTGAATTATCCATTTCTATTTTTTGATTTGTGTTAAATTGGTTTGCCAATTGGCAGTCTCACTACATTATCTCATATAATGAATGGAAGAGATTTGGGACTAGAATGCATTAATAGTAGCACTGTTATGTAATTCTTACGTTGTAATAAATCAATGGAATTAAATAAATACTTTTGTAATAATAATAGAGGGAAAAATGAAAAAGGACTAATTTGTTCAAAGTACCATAACTAAATTATATTCATATTTTACATCAAGTACCACCTCAAAAGGATAATAAACTTACAAAAGATAGTAGCGTTCACATATCCATTACGCTTACAGATCATTAGAGATTACAGAGAGGTGGACCATTACTAACATTAATCCGGTCATATTAATAATACCCAATGCTACTTAGTTATCTAAAGGCGGAAACAACTTTACCAAGAAGAGATCAAAATAATTCCCCACGTTGGGACCGAATGTGACCAAGACCTCATATGCCTTCTCACCAATCAAGTTGAGAAGTGTAACATAGTCCGCATTTTGAAGCTCAGAAGGACTGACAATAGAAGACATGATTCTCCGTAAGTAAGCTGATGGGAACACGACCTCAACATCAGTAATGTCATCTTCAATGGTCAAGTGAATCAAATATACCCTCGATGCCTCACACCAAGATCTCCTCAACTCTGTTACAACGCTTGAGAAAATGTACGAATTGCCCTGATATAATCCAAACCATTAGGAGTTCAAAATAATACCAAATCATATGCAAATCATTGATATAACATATAGAGAAGGATAGATAACAAACATGTGATCTTAGTCACCTGACGAGCACCATCCAATT